AAAAAGAAAAGAAATGAGGCCGGGGACACAATCGAGGAGGCAAAAGGAAGAGAAAGGGAGAAAAGGCGAATGATAAGGGGCCTAAAGAGTAAAGATGATGTTTCAAATGTAAGACTTTATAAAAGTATGACTTTCCCTTCCCTTATATTTTTTTAATAGTGAAAACAGCTCGATTTTGTTGTTGTAATTTTTTAATGGTGAAAGCTAGGTTGGAGTGGGGAGGCCAGCAGGTGGCCCAGGTGAGCATAGGTAGGCAATTGGGAAGGTGAGAGGCAGTTCTGCATCCTCGCTCCTCAAGGCCTGTCCTGGGAGTGGTTCCTGCTTCCTCCCGCTCTTGAGCTGGTGAGCTTGGTTGCCCTGGCTAGTGGAGGTGTGGTGCTGGCTGTGGCCCAGCAGGTGGCAGCACACCCCAGAGGTCCTGGGCTAGGCAGCTGCCGGCCCTCCTTAGCTGTGGAGGTGGTAGTGGAGTCAGGCATCTGCCCACCGGCCCTCCCCTGGGGGCACTGGCTGCTTGCCTCTGCAGGTCCTTATTTTGCACGCTTTGGATAGACGTATTTATTGGTTTCTTCTGAGAAGCCCGGAAAGCCAGTCTGTTTAGCTGCTGGTGGAAGTTCTGGGTCCAGAGGCTCCTCCTCCCAGGAGGTTTGAGCAGCAGGTAAGATGTGCAGGTGGAAATGAGGGCAAGGCCTCAGGAAGCAGAGGGCAGATTCTGGGATTTTGTGCTCTGCCTTCCCTTAGAACAGCTGAGTGGTAATATATGAAAGAGAATCTTGGTAGCTATGTTTGTTTATTTTTACTAATGTAAGAAATAATAATTTATTTCTTTTTAGTTTAGAGAGATGCAAAGATAAAAACTAAAAATGGACAATAACTTCCTCACCAAGATAACCCCTATTGACAATAAAAATGATAATAAAATAAGACTTTTTTGAAGTTTGAAAATTTGAACTACAGAGAGGTATAAAATGAGAAGTGTTTCCCTCCCCTCCACCTTAGCCTCTCTCCAAAGGAAACCACCGTTGAGTTTCTTATGATTGCTTCAAGAAAAAAAGAAAACAAAGGTCTTGCACACGGCTGAGTATCTGTAACTATTTATATTTCTTTTATTTGTTTATTTTAAACCCTGAAGTGATCATATTGTATATACTGTTCTAAGCCTTGTTTTTTTTACACACTGTACCTTGAAGATCTTTCTTTTTTTTTAAATTGAGATATAATTGACATATAACATTATATTGGTTTCAGGTATACAACGTAATGATTCCATATTTGTATATATTGTGAAATGATCACCACAGTAAGTTTCGTTAACATCCATCACCATACATAGTTACAAAATTTTATTTTTTTCTTTTGATGACGAGTTGAAGATCTTTCTAGTCAGCACATATAGACTTCTGTCATAATTTTTTTAATGGGTCTCCCTGTTGATGGAGATTTTGGGTGGTTCCAGTTGGGGGCTGATATAAACAGTATTACAGTGGACATCCTTGTATATTTATTTTGGCATACTTCTAAAAGTCCAAACTCTTAGGAGTAAGTCAGAGGGAAAGTACATTTTAAAATTTGATGGCTAAATTTTCCTCTAGAAAGGTTGCCCCACTTTACATGCCTGACGAGAGTGTATGAGAGTGCCAGTTTCCAGGTGGCCGTAGAGAAACCTGCCCCTGCCAGGAGCCCTTTGACATCCACACTGGTGAGATTGGTTGCTCGGCAGGAAGTAGGCACCGCCCCTCTGCTGCGGGGCAGCAGCCAGCTGGCTCCATGGCCTCTGCCTTCTCAACTGCAAATCTCCTTGGTGGTTGTGAGGTGACTGTGTCAGTGTGGGAGCTGGCAGCCTGTCTTTTAGCGGTGGGGAACACTCCCTCGATTTCCGTTACTGCTTTAGCAAGGTTTTCCTGTCTGTCCCGGGGTTAGAGAGTGAATAACCACATCTTCTGACTCTTTCCAGGTGAAGAAGGCATATAGGCAGAAGGCCCTCTCCTGCCACCCAGACAAAAATCCGGATAATCCCAGGGCAGGTGAGACTCTTAGGCACGGGAAGAGGGAGACCTGCTCACCTGGGTATGGTGTTTCCCTGTCTCCGCTCCCATGTGAGTGCTGTGGGGTGCTGCTGCACACAGCCTGGCTTTGGGTGCTGGGCCCCAAGGCTGCACTTTGCATGTTAGGGGCATCTGGTCAGTTGCTGATTCGCACGCCCTTCTTTGCTGGTCCATCATCTGCCGACGTCAGCTTTTCTGCCAGCCTATGGCTTCTTTGAGGGGCGTTTTTGAGGGAGCACACCATCATCAAGTCTAACTGTTTTTCTCTTCTCTCTTTTTTGCTCCTTATGTTTAGCTGAACTCTTCCACCAGCTTTCTCAGGCCTTGGAGGTACTGACCGATGCTGCAGCCAGGGTGAGCACATCCTCCTCTATCTGAATTGTCCCCCATGGATAGAGACCACCGTGGCACCTCACCCTCCATCTTCTATACTCTGCCATGTGGCACAGACCTTGCTGTCCCAGCCTGGAGACCCGGTCACCAGGCTGCTTCCCAAAGGCTCTGGGGCCTGGTGGTGGGGCCAGGTCAGCCTGGGCTCTGTGCTTCATCTCTGGCTGACTACTCCTTGGTGTTCCTTTCTCCTGCCAGGCTGCATATGACAAGGTCAGGAAAGCCAAGAAGCAGGCAGCAGAGAGGACCCAGAAACTTGATGAGAGAAGGAAGAAAGTGAAACTTGGTAGGTGACATCGTGCTGCTGGGTGGCCTGCAGTTTCCCAGGGCCATTTTCACGCAGCTCCCTCACCTTTCTTCTCGGAGCTTCAGTTCCAACAACTCAGCTTTTTCTCCTGGCTCTGGGCAGAACCCTGTTCTTAGGGGCGGATCCTGAAGGACACTCAGAAATAATAACAATGACTAGATTTACCATTAGCTAAGCACTGTGAAAAATGTTTTACTGTCTCTTTAATTATCACAACTATCCAAGGAGGTAGGTATTACTACACCCATTTTTTATAGACAAAGAAGTGAAGGCACCGAAGGGATGAGAACTTGCTGGAGCTGGGATTTAAGCCCACGCAGTGTTCTCAGTCACTGCACCGTCCCGGATCTTTACTCATCCCAGCCTTGTTTCTGCACAGAGCTTTCACTCCTAGAAGTCCCCTCAGAAAGATCCAAAGAGGGCCAAAGACCCTGATTCTTTTTTTTTTTAAACAGCTTTATTGAGGTATATTTTGTATATCATAATATGCACCCATTTCAAGTGTACCATTCAATGATTTTCAGTAAATTTACCGAATGGTGCAACTGTGACTAATTCAATGTTAGAACATGTCCATCACCCCAGTAAGATTGCTCCAGGCATTCTTTACTCGATTTTTCTCCCCTTCTTGCCTATTTGATGTCCGTATATTTAATATGTACATATACCGTCCCAATACACCCATCTCTCTATCCAAAACAAACAAATAAACCTGGAGGTTCTAGGTAAGTAAAGTGCACAGAAAAGAAAGCAGTGAGTCTCAGGCCTGAGAGAAGGCTTTGTCACGGCAGCTGGCCTGGCATAGGGCCACAAGCACATTTCTCTTGGAAGGCGGGCAGGGCTCCGGGACCTGGGGTGGTGTCTTCACAGAGTCGGCCAGCTCGTGCTGCTGTAGCCAGTCCACAGTGAGGCTCGGTGGGTATGAGTTGGGAGGATAAAGGAGACAATGGGAACTCAAGCTCACTGGTGGGAAAAGCATCAAAGCCAAAGCAAGGTCGCAGGTCAGGCTGTGGTGCCAAACCACAGGAACAGAGGCCAGCAGCTCCACCCACTGGCATCCCTGGCGTGGCCCTGGGCCGCCGACATAAGCACCCACCCATGCCCTGTTCACTGATCGAGAACCAGCTTGGTCACCGTGAGCTGATTTAACTCTTCCAGACCCCAGCCTCTCAGCTGGAGCCTATAATTCTTCTGTGCGATGACTTTTCTCAATAGAAATTAACTTGGGAGCACATGGGCATGGAGGGAGGGGGCAGAGTTACTGTATGGTTTCATCCTGTGTGAGACCTTGGGGAAGCAGCACGAGCTGGGCGGGCTGAGGCCATGTAGAAACTGCTTAGACCAGACATTGGGTCATTAAACCTTTGTGCCTAGACCTGGAGGCCCGGGAACAGCAGGCCCAGGCCCATGGCAGTGAGGAGGAGGAGGAGAGCCGGAGCACCAGGACGCTAGAGCAAGAGGTGAGTGTCCAGGCACACTGGCCTGAGGCCATCTGCAGGAGGAGGAGGGTGGACCTAGGTGGCGGTTGTGGGTGGGGAGGGCATGTGCTTTCCACCTTTTTCTTTGGGATCTGGGTAATCTGTCCCACCCGCAGGTTGCTGAGCCCTAGCCTGCAGGTGGAACCTCCCAGGGACCTTTACAAGGTGAGCCAACCTGGAACTGGATCTGCACAGAATTGTCAACCCCCCAACCCCCGCTCTGCAGATAGAACGCCTGCGAGAAGAGGGTTCCCGGCAGCTGGAGGAACAGCAGAGGCTGATCCAGGAGCAGATACGGCAGGAACGGGAACAGAGGTTGAGAGGTGAGAGTCCATCACCCCCACCCGCCCTCGCCTCCGAGGCAGCTCCAGATGCCCAGAGTGGCCACACTGGCTGCTTGGTGGAGTCGCTATGGAGGCTTCCACCTGCTGGAACCCCAGGGACACCCCACTGGGACACATGCCACCTGTCCCTTCTTCCTACCAGTTTTCTGGGGCCTATTTGCTTTTCACTCTGCCTGCAATCTCCTGGCCTCTCTTGTCTCAGCCCCAAGCAGAGCTGGCTCTATTTTGAAGCAGATCATCAGGGGCAAAGGCTCTGGGACACTTTGTTTCAGTAGAACTGTGTGGTCTGTACCTCCACCTCTTGCCCCCAGAAGGTATTCACAGCCCTTCGTTGACAAAGTGCTAACTGTGGCCCTCAGCAGGCAGCTGGGCAGACCAGCCCTGGGGTGGCAGCTCCTCGGAATGGCGGTGGGATTGCCTCTATCTTGCCCACCAGGCTCCTCAGCAGGGCAGGGCAGATGCTGCCCTTGGTCAGGAGTGACTTTTTCTAGGTCCTTATGGCCCTGGGCTGTGTCTCCTTTGGGAGAACCTCTGGCTTCCTCATATTCTACCTTGCTAATTTCCCCCAATTTTCTAGGAAAGGCAGAAAATCCTGAAGGCAGAGTGACCCCCAAGCTAAAGGTGAGCTCTGGGGGATCCATGGGCGGCGTCACACTACCTTTTGTCAGCAAAAACAGATACTTCCGGTGGCTCAGGGGTTCTGGCAGGGATGCTGGATCTCTGGGAGCCAGCACCACTACCCACATCCTCCCATTCTGCTGCCTGGGGATCAGGATGGCCTCTCAGAGCTTGCCGTGAAAGGCTGCTCTTAGCACTGACGCTTGCAGGGCAGCACTCTCCAGAAGCTCTCGAAGGAGCGTATCTTACAGGGCTGGAAGCATGGCTGTGGGTGAGCAGGCCGCCTGCCTGTCATTTTCAAGGGGAACACATTTTTGGGGGGTGCTCCCTAGATTACAGGTGCCTTGAAGACTGGCAGGGTGTGTGTGCAGACTAAAGCTCAGGTGCAGGGTCTGTACCGTTCAGGCGAAGGTTAGTGGTTAATGGTGACGCCCACTGCTGTCTTCTCAGCTGAAATGGAGGTGCAAGAAGGAGGCCAAGTCAGAAGGCGGCTACTCCAGAGACGTCCTCCTGCGGCTTTTTCAGAAGGTCTGCCCTGCTGACTTCCCTCTGTCCTATCATCTCAGGCTGCATCTCAGCCCAAACCCCAGGAGCTCCGTGCCTGAACTTCCCTTGCCGTCTCTACCTGCCTTCTGGTTTTCTGTCTCATAGACCACAGGACAGCCTAGAGACTTCTCCCCAGGCCACGGCCGTCCAGTCACTTGTGTTGCCGTGTGTCCCCTCCAGCCTGGTCTGGCCCTCTCTGCCCAGGTCTAGCCCTTGCCCTCCTTAGAAGCAGAGGGCTTGGCTGAGTGTGGGGAGAGAGGAGGTGGGCATCTGGCATGAAAGCCCCATTCTCTTCACCACCCTCAATTGCTGAGGCAGCTGTGCAGCTCTGCCGTTCTAAGTCCCCTGTCCTTTGCCCAGCTCTCCTTTGCTGTCTTTCTGCATGCCTGGAAAAAGTCCTTTCTTTCCCATCTCTGATCTCCCCTCTCTGGGAACCTAGCAACAAAAAGTTATCCCCCAGCTGAAAAGGCCCCGGCGGGCCTCAGGGCAGCCCGGGTTGTCTCTGGCATGAACTGGGCATCCTGAAGGCTGAGCCATGCTCATCAGGGCCCCCTTGTCCCTACAGTATGGAGAGGTGCTCAACCTGGTGCTTTCCAGTAAGAAGGCAGGCACTGCTGTGGTGGAGTTTGCGACCGTCAAGGCTGCGGTGAGTGCCACGGGAGGCTTTCGGGGGTCTGCCCGTGCCCTGCCAGTTCAGGGCAGGGACCCAATTCTGTGGGCCCTCTGATCTTCGGTATCCACACTCCCAGGGGTCTCTGGTTCAGCTCAGAGCCAGGGTTCCCTAGAAGCCCCCCAGCTCCCGGGAGTAGTGAGACATGAGCAAAGGCATGGATGGGAGAGTGCTCCAGACCAACTTCGTGTTCTGCTGCCTGGCTCCACACCCTCCCCCACCCTCCTGTGGAAGCCGGCATACCTCCAGTTTGGGGCACCGCACTGCCTTCTCCCCTTCTCCCACTCCTCAGTCAGAAGGCTCATACGCCCCACTCGCCCACGAGGAGGGTCAGAGCTTCAGCACAGCATCATAGGAAGGTTGCTGATGTTGCTTGGCTCTCTTGGAGGACGTGAGTGCTGTCTCTGGCTCTTTCTGTGGGGGTAGAGAGAGCCACTGTACAGCTGATGGCAGTGATGGGACCAGGACTGGATGCTGTGTTTGGCAGGAGCTGGCTGTCCAGAATGAAGTGGGCCTGGTCAATAACCCTCTGAAGATTTCCTGGTTGGAGGGACGGCCCCAGGGCGCAGTGGGCCCCGGCCACCCAGGACTGTCACAGGTAAGGAGCCAGGCCTCACCAAACTGGGCCTGCTCAGGGTTTGGGGGCCCTTTTCCTGTTTGGGCTCTTCTAGAGCCCTTTCCTTGCAAATCCAGGTCACAGGGAGTAGAGTGAGATTGGCAGGTCCGCCCACCCGAGCAGGACTGCAATTCCATACTGACCCCTCTTTGTCTCTGAGGGCCAGGGGGCCCCACTCCACACAGAATTCTTAGACCTCACTTTCCCTCCCGTCCCAGTCTTTTGTTGGAGCTCTCAGCATCACCCAAAGGGGTTTTCCTGGCCTGTGGGTTGCTTGGTTGTGGTGTGAAGCATTTGGTGCTTAGATGACCCAGTGCTGTGGGGAAGGGGCAGGTGACACGGGCAGCTGCTTCCTTCCCCAACTCGTTTTCCAGATGTGTCTGTCCCAGCCAGGGACCTACTGTCAAGAGGCAATATCTCCTCTTTAGAAATAACACCGGCTACCTGCTGACCCTGGGGTGCTGCCTGGGTGCCCGACTCGTGGTGAAGCAGACTTTAGCTGACACGTGCCCAACACTAGCTCTTAGTCCTCCCAGCTCCATGAAGGCTTTCGCTCAGCACTCCCCACACATACACACATAGGGCCCTGGTCACACTTGCCCCCACTTTGGTGGGACAGAGAGCTTTCAGGCCAAGAACTCTCCCTTCTCTGAAGTGGCCTGGGGGGCTGTGTGGGAGCCTCAGGCTGATGTGTTCACAGTCCCCTCTGTAGGGAGAACGCCCCTCGGTGCGTCGCAAGGGCTTTGCTCTCACTGCCTGACTCATGCCGCCCCTGCTCCCCTACATGCCCCTCACCTGGCCATGAGGACGGGAAGCTTCCTGGGAGTGTGTCCCAGACGCTAGACAGAGCAGGAAAATGAACTGGTCTGAACCCGACTCAAGACCCTTCTTTAGAGACTTCATTCCCCCACTGTTTTTTTGTTTTTTTTTTAAAACAATTTTTTTTTATTTTTATAATTTTATTTTTTCTCCCAAAGCCCCAGTAGATAGTTGCATGTCATAGCTGCACATCCTTCTAGTTGCTGTATGTGGGACGCGGCCTCAGCATGGCCGGAGAAGCGGTGCATCGGTGTGCGCCCGGGATCCGAACCCGGGCCGCCAGCAGCAGAGCGTGCGCACCCAACCACTAAGCCACGAGGCCGGCCCCCCGCACTGTTAAGTCCCAGCGTTTCCCAGCCCCAGAACTGTGTTAGAACGAACTTTATTCATCATCTCCTGCATCCAGAGGGGAGTCTTTCAGCTCGGCACCTCCACACAGGAGGAGGGAGGGGGAGGTCACAAAGTTTGGAGTGTGGAAGCAGTGTGCGTTGAAGCTTCCCTCTCCCCCCTGCCCTGCTTGGAAAGGCCTGGTGTGTCAGAACCACATGGCCCAGCCGACTTGGGCTCTGGTTTCAAGTCTTCTGGCCAGGTCACAGAGTGGGGCGGTGGTGCAGCCTGTGGCCTTGACCCACTGGGCTTGGCCCTGGGTGGCAGGCCCCCATTGTCAGAGGGTTCCGGCAAGGCAGAGCTCTGCAGTCCTGGTGAAGGATTCTGGACACCAGCTGTGCCTCTTCATGGTAACAGCCATGAGTTTGGGTCCATCCCCTGATCCAGTCCTCCTGTGTTCTCATGGGAGCGGGAAGGAGGGAAATCCACCACTGTTTTTGGTGCATTTCCTGAGGGCTCCCATCACTAATAATCTGGGAATTCCCCAAAGCATCCCTTTACAAGCTGTGTCTGTGCCTTTGGCTGGCATTACCTAGAGCCACCTTCCTCGGGCACTAGGGAGTGCTCTGGGCAGCTGTGTTGGCAGCTTGAGTCTCTCACGCCCCCTTTTCTGCTAAGATTTGTTTGGCCTTTCTCCTGAGTTATGCTCTTTATCTGTATGTGCCTTGCTCTTCCTACTCTACCAGCCCCTCCCTTCCCTTGCAGGCCCATATGCTTCCCACTTTCCCACCACACCACTGGGAGCTCTAGGCCATGGTCTAGGCCAGTGCTGTCCAATAGAACCTTCTCCAGTGATGTTATTATTCCCACTGCACTGTCCAGTGTGGTAGCCGTTAGTCATGTGTGGCTGCTGAGCATTTGAAATGCGGCTAGTGCAACTGAGGAGCTAAATTTTTAATTTTACTTAATTTAAATTAATTCCAACTTGAACAGCTACATGTAGCTAGTGGCTACCATATTGGACAAGGTCAAGCCTGTCATCCCTTTCCCCTCATCTCCCCACTTTCCTCTGCGGCCTGAGTTGGAACACTTTTGCCTAGACCTGTCCTGTAACCTCTCTCTGTTGACAGTGGCTTCAGAGGGGGCTGGCTCAGGGCACCGGTCTGATCTGCCCGGTCTGTGTGTCCTCCACCTCCTGACTTGCCCCTTGCGCCGCCCTCCCCCTCTGCTGGCCTCTGCCTGGTCCCTGTGGTTGTAGGTGTGGCCTCCCTTTCCCAGCCAGCTGCCTTCAGGGCTCCTGCCAGCAAGTGCCCCCCTCACAACATTTCCAGCTTGCCTCTGCGCCTCTGTCCTGCACTCTGGGGTGACTTGGAGGACTGTTCGGGACCCAGAGGGCAGGCAGGACCCTGGATTCCTATCCCCACCTTCTTCTTGATCCACAACTGTACCCTCCTTCCCTGGGTCCCCAGGCTCTGGCTCTTCCAGTCACCCCACCTCTGCCCACCCTCACCCCATTCAGAAGCTGGGCTCATTGGGAAATTGCTCCCTCAGCATCTGTAGAACTTCTTCAAGAAGTGAAATCCCCAGGTCCACTTTGAAGGAGAAGAAGGCATCATTGAGGTCCGGAGCAGGTGTCCTCTGGAAGGGAGGAGTGTCCAAAAGGTCCTCCTTGGAGCACTGGTGGAGGGCGCCCGCCAGGGAGAGCGCCGAGGGCAGGGTTGCCGAGTACGCAGCCGTGTAGGCAGGTGGGGGCTCCAGGATGTTGGGGCAGCTGGAGCTCTCTCGATAGAGGCGCGGGGGCTTCGGGGGGGCCAGCAGGGTGGCCCGGGGCTGCTCATCCCCCCACAGCGGCAGGCGCCGGCCATCTGGCCTTCCTTGCAGCTCCCGGATGACCTCTCGGTTGCTGTACTCCTCATGGTCCCCGCCAGCTGTGCTGGCCTGGCTAAGCACGCTGCCCTGTCGCCGGAGTCGCCGCGGCCGCCCCAGGCTCAGCCGCTTGAAGAAGGAGGCGTTGCGGAAGGAGCCTTTCCGCCAGGTCTCCATGGGACCCAGGGGAGCCAGCAGACAAGCCTGCTACCTCCGAAGCCTGGTTCAAGAGCAGCTGGGGACCATCTGGTTCTCTGCTGGAGCAGTGAATGTCAGGAGTCAGGGAGACAGCCCTAGTGGGCTAGGAGCGGAGGCCTCTGGCCAGCATCTTGGGTGGTGAGATGCGGTCCCAGAAAGAGGGTGCTTTTGTCCAGGAGAGCAGAGAGCTGAGAGTTTCCCAGAGGGACAGGAGTGGCCTGGTGACTTGATAGAGCAGTGGAAAAAACCCTAAGAGGAAGCAGCGGCACTTACTGGAGCCGGAGTGAGGGCAGCTCCCGTGGAGTCAGCAGTGGATCTCTCCAGGCAAGAGCAGCCTGTGCCCCTTCCCCAGAGCTGGGCTTCCCATGGGCCCAGCTCACCTTCTCTCCCTGGCCCCTGCACCCATCTCCAGAGCAGTGCAGGGCTGTGCCTCTCTGCCGGCAGCTCCTGGACTCTGATGAGTGGCGTGGCTGTTTGTGCCGGTGTGTGGCGGTGGAGATGTGTTGTTGTTTGCAGCTGACTCAGTCAGGTGGGAAGCCGGGTTTCATACTCTGAGGTAATTGCAGCATCCGCAGGCAGGGATTGGGCAGCCGTGGCCAACACCCGAGGGCACTGGGGAGCTTAAGATTACTCTGGGGAATCGTCTGGGGGCAGCCTTCCTTTATGTGTCACCACGCTGCCTCCTTTTCCCTCATAGCCCCACCACCCTGGGCCCTAGGAGGCAGGCCCGGCTCCCCAGCCCCCAGTGTGTCTGGGAGGGAGGAGCCCAGGGAGGGTGGGAGTTAATTGAAAGGCAGGCATGTGGAACAATTGTTGGGGAAGGAAGAGAGACCTGTCCCTGGTGTGGGTGACTCAGCTCTGGGGCCTGGTGACAGGCCCTCATTAGCAGAACCTGCAGGTATGGGGGGAAGGAGGCAGAGGGTGTGTTAGCAGCGAGCAGCCCCATGCCTGTAAAGGGCTGGCTCCTGCCAGGGCTGGGCTTGGGGCATGCCAGGGTGACTCCAAGTTTTCTTGGCACAGCAGCATTACCTTGGGGAGGAGAGATTTGTCCTCCCCTTGGCCTGACACCCAGTCTAGCTGTTCTGTTTCCTCATCCCTCCTCGATTGACCCAGATGGCCTCAGCAGGAAAGAGCAGTTGAGGGCCTGAGTCCTGCTGCCTCCTACCCCCCTGTGCTCCACTCCTTCGCCTCCGGCCGCCTGGGCCTCATTTGGGGTCTGTCCTCTGTGGAGGGGGCTGGGCCACATGGGGCTACCCTGAATTGTCAGCTAGTGCTCTGGGCCAAGCTTAGATAGGTGGGTCGGGCTGGGAGGGCAACTCTTGTCGGAGCTTCTGCTGCAGCCCAGGAGAGAGGAGGAGCAGGGGCATCTGAGCTGAATATCGCTTTCTGGTTCTGTACACCCCTTAACTCCAAACCAGTTGGCCAGGGCCTGGCATCTTAACCCCAGCCACTCCCTTCTTATTCCCCGGGTCACTGACCACCAGGCTTCCTCCCGGGCTTATTCCATGACAGTGCACCAGCTCGGGGTACCAGAGAACAGGGTTCAGCAGTGTTCTCTTCTGTGCAGCCCCCCTGGCCTGGCTCTCTTCTGTGCCAAGCCAGGTGGGATTCACACTTCACACAGCTTCAGCTGCACTGAGGGAGGAAGTGATTTAATTCCCACTGCAGACCTTATCAGGGTGTGGCGTTGGTGGTTCAGGGCTCCACTGTAGAGCAGCCTCTCCACCCCACAGCCTGGCCCAATGAGGTGATTGTTTATTATTCTTTTGATTATTAAAATATAGCACCATTTAATCCCTTGGACTGTGCTGGCAAGATCATAAAAGAAAAAGCCACGAGCCCTGCCCTGCAGGAGCGAGCCCTGGTGTGTATTTTTAGGAGGCGAGCCGGCCCCATGCTTGTTTCTCTCTCCTCCTAGGGTGGGGCTCCCTGCCCCTGTGTCCTCGGCAGGAGCCCGACTACAGGGATCGGGGGCAGCTGGGAGGGGGCAGCGCTCTCGCCTCTGCCTGGCAGAGCGGAGTGGATTCCTGTACCTCTGACAACCTGCCTTCACTGGGAAACTGAGCAGCAGAAACCACAGGGTGGAGGAAATGAGTGTCAGATAAAGGGCTGAGAGGAAATGAAGGGAGATGAGGGCCTGGCTAGGGCATGAGGAAGTGATTCACCTGGGAAAGATGAAGCAGAGCTGACTGTAGCTGTGAAGGGCCTGGGAAAGGGGAGTTGGCAGTGACAGCTGGTTGAGATGGGCGGAAGGGGAGCCAGCTGCGGGCCTGGCAGCGAAAGGCCTGCTTGCTCTGAAGGGATATGGGGAAGTTGGGATTGCAAGCTATTCCAGGGGCCTTCCCCTCCTGGCATCCTCCCTCGTTGACTCTTGACTGCAGCTCTGCCTGGGCCCCGACCTCCAGGTCTAGAGACTGTGGAGCTGTGCTCTGCTGCTCTTAACCCCTCCCTGCCCCCCCCCTTACCCCTTGTCCTCCAGGGCTCAGTGCTGTCCGAGAGGGACTACGAGAGCCTCGTCATGATGCGCATGCGCCAGGCAGCTGAGCGGCAACAGCTGATCGCCCAGATGCAGCAGGAGGACAAGACGGCACAGCCCACGTAGCCTCCAGCCCTGCCCCCCACAGCCCGTTTCTTACATATCACCAATAAACTTTTTTTTTTTTTTAAAGAGTCTACTTCTATTGCATACATAGGTGTGAGGTGCTGGCCTGCCTGAGCGTGGCCCTTGTTTCTGGGCTCTGCCTCAAAGGGCTCCACCCAGGCCTGGCTCTCCCTCCCCGGGAGCAGGCAGACCTCCCCGAGAGGCGCTCGGCGTGGTGAGAGGCAGTGCCCAGCAGAGGACCAACCACTCATCACAGCGCTTTATTGGCTTGGCCTAGCTATGCAAGACCCTCCTGCCCAGTCCTGGGGCCATGGTCTGCCCAGCTCCTGGCCAGGGGTAGCCTGGCTTTTGCTGGCCCCTAGGCCTGCCCACAAAACATGGCCCCTTCCAGGGCCCTCGGCCAGGCCTGAAGCCAGAAGGGCAGCAGGGAGCACCAGGGTAAGGGGCCCTGCCCTCCCTCCTGCTGAGGCAGGTTTCAGGGAAGGCCCTTCACTGCCCAGTGTTCTGGGCCAAGGAGAGTGATGATTTGGGAAGAGAAGGGCAGGGCAGTGAGTGAGGCTGGGTCGGGGGGTGGGGGGAGGGGGGAGGTTGGGGCCCATGGCAACCCCTCCAAAGGGGTGCCCCGTCTACTACTCATGTGAGGGGGTCACTCCTTGTGCAGGCACCACACCAGCGTCTGGCCCACCCCCGTCATGCTCAGCACACGGAAGCCCCTGCGTTCCAGCTTGTCCAGGACTATGCGAGGGGGGTCATTGACGTAGTACTCCCAACTGCAAAGAGAAGAGGGGGCAGTGTGAGGGGGGACACAGGGCAAGCTCCGCATACAAATACAAAGCTGGTATCTGCTGAGGACGGGGTCTGGCCAGGAATACTCACAGCAGTGACCAACATTTGCTGGGTGCCTTCCGGGTGCCAGACTAAGTGCACACTCCCTGCCCCCTCCCCTGCTCAGCACTTTGCTTGCCTGATCTCATCGTTCCTCCTAACAACCTAAGAAGTTACCACTTTCCCCGTGTCGTACAGATAGCAAAACCCGTGTTAGTCTGATGACAGCCCCACGTGCCCTGGGCCACTGCATTATTCCAGAGGAGTGGCCTGCTCTCCCCGGGTCCTCCCCCAGGCCTCTGCCCCCTCTTGCTGCCCTGGCTGTTCTGCAGTCCTGGAGCAACAGGTTGGCCCCTAATAATAGCTCCTGGCTCTGGGTGCCGCTTCCCAGCATAGAAAATGCTTGGTTTCTCTTCTTTCAGGGTTGATTCTGAAGGGCCGTCAAGTGGGTAAAGGGCTCAAGCCCCAAACTGGGCATCAAGTGGCTGAGTCCCTAGGCAGCAGCTGAGCCGAAAGTAGGACACAGGCTGCCTTCTCCCTGTTTCTAGAGCTTCGCTTTGTTACTCAGCTGGCTCTTCAAGACAGAAACATTTCTCTCTGTGCCTGTCTTTGCCTTGATGGGATCCAGCTTGGAGATGAGAGGGCAGGGCAAGGAACAGTCCACTTACAGAGTCGTATACCCAGGGAATGGGGCTCTGTCCTGGGGTTCTCTTGTGAAGAGAGGGCCAGTGGGAAAGCTTTCAGAGCAAGACTCAGGGGTCTGTGATGAGGCTGCAGACGGACCCACCCTGCAGAGGTCAGAGCCCCAGAATGCAGGCCAAGGGGCTCTGAGGCTGGCCAGTAGTACTGTCCCTGGGCTTGATGGTTGTGTAAAGGGAACAGGGACAGGCCTAGGGGCTGTCAGGGAGAAGATACTTAGGAATGCCACTACTTACAAGTTGTTTCCTAGGACGCTTCTTTTTGAGGCCCCCAGATGCTGCATTAGCTCTGGATCTGAGTGCTCATCGCCCACCATGGTGGGGCCCACCTCCTGCAAGGTAAGTCACAGCGGCTGCTCGGCGGGCTGCCAGGTAGAGGTGGAAGGTCTCATGTCTCCTTCTTCCCCTGCCTGCTGGCCCTGAGCCAGCTTCAGTTAAAGGCTAGAGCGGGTATGAGGAACCTTGGGGGCTGAGCACAAGCTGGGAAGCGGTGGGGCCTGTCAGTGATCAGGCTGAGCAGTGTGGGGCCTCTCTAGCCCCTCCAGGCTGAGCTGGGCATTGCCTGATTGTTGGCATCTGCATGCCAGGCACCACCGCCCGTGTGTGTGTATCAGAATCATCTGGAGAACAGAGAAATGAAAACATACCTCCACACAAAAACTTGTACACCAATGTTCATAGCATTTTCATAATAGCCAAAAAGTAGGAACAACCTAAATGTTTGTCAGCTGATGAATGGATAGATAAAACGTGGTATACCCATACAATGGAATCCTATTTGGCAATAAAAAGGAATGAGTACTGACACACGCTACAATACGGATGAACCCTGAAAACATTACGTACGTGAAAGAAGCCAGACACAAAAAGACCAAGTATCATGACAGCAAGTAGATTAATGGTTACCTAAGGCTGGGGGGCTCAGGGGAAATGAGGAGTGACGGGTAAGATCCAGGGTATGGGAACAGGGTTTCTTTTTAAGGTGATGGAAATGTTCCAAAATTGATTATGCTGATGGTTGCACAACTCTAAATATGCTTTAAAAAAAAGCAAACAACCCCACTGAATTGCACACTTTGGTGAATTCTATGGTTAGTATGTATAATATATCAATAAAGCTGCAATATTAAAAAAATATAAAGAATCACCTGAGGAGCACTAAATTCCCAAGCCCCAGGCTTACAATGTTTCAGGAGGTCTGGCGAGGGGCCCAGGAGTCAGCATTTTAACACCTGCACAGATGACTTGTTCTCAAACTCTTGCCCTAGGGCACTGCCAAGACCCCTCCTGTCATGTGGTTAGCCCTTTCCTTCATCCCAAGGAAGCTGTGTACCCTCGGATGGATCACCCAAGCACTGGGGAGTGGGAAGGGACAGAGGAGCATCCTGCTGCCCAGCTGGGGGACCCAGTCATATCATTCTGAAGCTGAAAGGGAACTCCTGGGGCGACCAGCACCGTCTTGGACCAGAATATTGCGGCCAGAGAAAGGGGCGTGACTTCTGACTCCTGGCTGGTGTTCTCCCCACCTCTCACGCTAAGGCCTGTTTCCCCTTTCCTTCTTCACGAGCACGAAGTTCTTTCTTCTCTTCCCTTCCTAGGGCCTCGGGATCGCTCTTCCTGGAAGTGCCTATGGCTGCAGCTAGTGGCTCTGGATAGGCCAGGCGCTTGGCATAGGTGTTTTAGTGTCTTAGCACGTCCTTTTCTTTTCCAAACCTCTTTCCCTCAGGTTATTCCACTTTTCCCCCCCGCGGAGCGGCTCTGTGTGGGGCGGTGCGTGCTGCACAGGTGAGGCGAGGGCTTCCGGGGCCCCTCCCGCGGACAGGTAGGACAGGAGCCGCCGGGACCTACGCACCTGGCCGCCTTCGCGGCCCTGGAGGCGGCGGGCCGGCCAGAGCTCCCTGAGTGCCAGAACCCGGGCTGAGTCCGATCCGCAGCCTCCCTCCCGACGGCCCGAGGGGGCGTGTCCCGGGCGGCTTCCGGGTCCAGGCACCGCGGGCGCTGCCCAGGAATGAGGCGCCACGGGCGGTCGCAGCCCCCTCGGCCCGGGCCCGGCCCCAACTCCAACTGGCCGGGCGCCGGGTACTCACCATGCGGATCTGGGTGCTGATGAGCAGGTAGGGCATGGTGCGCGCGTCCCGGCCGGGCTCCCACCCTCGGCTTCAGGCCGGCGTCGACGCCAGCTCCTCGGGCTCCGGGACCGCGACCCGCCGCCGCGAGTCCCGTTACTCCCGCTCCGGCCTCGTTGGCTCCAGTCCCGGTGCGCCCGGCCCGTGACCGCCGCGGCCGGCCAATCAGGAGCGGGCGCCCGTGACGCGCCCCGGCCCTCGGCGACTTGGGGCCCGCCCCCTGCCCTCCAGGCATCGCCCTGGGACGCGGGGTGCGACCGTGGCTTCCGCGGCGGTCCCGCCGCGAGGAGGGGTGCGTGTTAGGGGGGCCGCTCCCTTACCCGCGGGCTGGAGGTGGGTGGCCCGCCAGGCTCGGCCGGCTGCAGCGGGCCGTGGCGCCAGGCGCGCGTGTTGTCTTTGCGCCCTCTTACTGCAACACCTCCAGTAACAGGTTCCAAAGTCCTGCTGGTCCCCGCCCTCGTCCCTGTGAAGCAGAGGAGGGAGCCGACCTCAGGGACGCCTCTAAAGCTTTTAGCGGATCCCCACTTCCCGTCCCCAAGACACGGTCTCCAGAGACGATGTCAGCGCGCGGGAGACAGGAGAAGGAGGCTTGGGGCTACAGCTGAAATGCCAACTCGGGTGCACTGCTCATTCCCGCCTCCCCGACGGTAATTCCCAGTACAGCAGCGGGGCCTCGCATTTCTGTGGCCCTGTAGGTAAATCTGCAAAGGAACTGAGCGCTTGGCCGGGTGCCAGGCCTGGAAGGACTTAACCCAACCGATCTGGGTCCTTAGTTCCGAGAGCTTCTCGCGAAGCTGGAGAAACGTGGCTCACGCGCAGGAGAACACGGGGCAACCCCGGGCAACAGAAACTACTCCCCCCGCCCCAGCCTCCAATGAGAGGGCATCGAGTTCACCTCGACATGTGCACGCCCTCTTCTGGCTGTATCAAAATCTGACACCTCAACATTCCTGACCTGCCTTGTTGGTGATTGGTTCTCTAAAAAACAAAGCAAAACAACAGCCTGTAACCTTCCCTCCCTGCCTTTGACAAATCTTCACTTCACTGAAGGGTACTTACAGAGCGTGCCCTGTGCCTCCAGCACGTGGACGGATGTGGAGAGTGCTCTAAGGGAAGTGGGAAGTTGTAATCCTAAAGGATCCTTACTGGTCTAATTTATTATTCTGTAGTCTCTACCCCTCTTCTCTACCTCCAGGACTAACAATTTAGCTAGAGAGATAAGACATATACGTGCTTAACAAAAGATTTGTTAAACTGACAAAGGATTAATGTCCAGCACATACAAAGAACTCCTACAAATCAATGAGAAAAAGATAAATCAGTAGAAGAAACATGGGCAAATGACTCAAATAGGCACTTTTCAAAAGAGGGAATGGAACTGGCCAATAAACATATAACATGATGTTCAATATCATTGGAAATCCCAGAAATGCAAATTAAACTACATTTTAAACCACAATGAGATATTGCCTTAATGATTTGCACACACACAAAAATCTGTAAACATCAAGTATTGGTGAAGATGTCTAACAACTGGAACACTACTGTTGGGATTGCAAATTGTTATGATTGCTACAATCACCTTGGAAATCAATTTGGCATCATCTAGTAAAGCTAGATGCCTCCCTATGACCCAGCCAAACCTCTCCCAGATAAACCTCAGGAAAACTCACTGACACGAATCCTGATCCATGTGCAAGAATATTCCTAACAGCACTGTTTGTAGTGAGGAAGAAACTGGAAACAGTCCTTATGTCCATCGAAAGTGGAGTAAATTTTTAGATTCATACAGTGGAAACTGTATAGCAATGAAAGTGCTGAGTGAAAAAGCAAATCTTGGAAAAATATGGAATAATTATATTTACATAAAGCTCACAAAGTTGCAAAACTAAGCAATAAATTGTTTGGGGATAAAAACATGTGGCCAAATTATAAAGAAAAGTAAAGGAATGATAAATGTAATATTCAGGGTAGTGGTTACCCCTGAGAAAAGGGAAAGGGACAGGATGGGGACAGACATGCAGGAGTCTTAAAAGGCAAAACTGATGTTCTCTTTCTTCCACTAGGACGTGGGTGCAAAGGGTTATAAATGTCCTCAATCTTTATACATGTATTATAAATACTCTTTTGTAGCCATTAAACATTTTCTAAGAACAATTAAAACAATAAGAATGATTTTTTAAAGTGTCAAGTACCTTAGAGGTTAGACATAATGGGTAAGGCCATTATTCCAAGGCATTTGACTATGTCACCTCTCTGGGCAGAGCCAGGTAGATAAGGCTCTCATGTTCTGGGCAGAGAGCAGAACAGGAATCTGGGGTCTGCTCTGCTCTCCTCTCTAAGGCTGGGCTATGGAGGGATGGGAAGGAGTGCATATCTCAGGCTGCTAGAGCTTTATTACATTTGCAAAACTGGTCTGCAGATGCAGCGTAAGATAGAGAGCTCCATCCAGATTCACTCACCCCGCTGCTGACTGCCCTGGCAGCCGCACGCTCGCCAGATAACATCTTTAATATCCAGGGAGAAATGAATTCCCCCTTGGTCTGCCCGTCTGGCCTTGCCTCATGCCACAATCAGTTTATCTGGCAGATCTTCCTCCCCTGAAAAAGGAGGAGAAATTGTTCTTTCACAACTCAGCTTTTCGTCCTGAAAGCATCGTCAAAGTGGCAGAGCCTGGATATTGGTCATTCCTTCTTTCCTCCTTCCTCTATTCAGCTTTTATGGATGGCTTCTGCGTTGGAGCTGTTCTAGGTACAGGGGATGAGGAGATGAATCAGGCATGAACCCCATCCTGGAAGAGTGAGCAGTCCAGTGGCGTAGACAGATAGCAAATAATCATGGCACCAAGTGTCATGGAGGTAACTGAGCATGAGGAGCAAAGAAAGATAAAAAGATTGATTCTACCAAGGTGGTGGTGTGGGAAGGTTTCCCAGAGGAAGTGAATTTTTATTCTAAAATAAAGTTAATATTTTTTCTTATTACAAAAGAAACACATGCTTATTTCAGAAAAATGAGAAAAAAATGGAAAAAGGGTATTAAAAACACTCTTTTCTCACCATCAACACAATCGTAGTTAATCCCTTAGTGTATCTCAAGAGATACTAATTGAACTGAATCCTTAAAAATGAGTAGAAGGGGGCTGGCCCCGTGGCTTAGCAGTTAAGTGCGCGCGCTCCGCTGCTGGCGGCCCGGGGTCGGATCCCAGGCGTGCACCCATGCACCGCTTCTCCGGCCATGGTGTGGCCGCGTCCCACATGCAGCAACTACAAGGATGTGCAGCTATGACATACAACTATCTACTGGGGCTTTGGGGGAAAAAATAAATAAATAAATAAAATTAAAAAAAAATGAATAGAAGGTATTGGTGAAGTTCTATTCCTTAAGCTATGGGGTGGGTACCTCACTGCTTTTTTTTTTTTTTTTGGTGAAGAAGATTAGCCCTGAGCTAACATCCATTGCCAATCCTCCTCTTTTTGCTGAGGAAGATTGGCCCTGGGCTAACATCCGTGCCCATCTTCCTCTACATCTGGGATGCTGCCACAGCATGGCTTGATGAATGGTGCATATGTCCGTGCCCAGGATCCGAACCTGTGAACCTCAGGCTGCTGAAGTGGAGCCCGTGAACCCAACCACTATGCCACTGGGCTGGCCCCCCTCATTGCTTTTAAATTATTCTTTACAATGTACATATAAATTAAATGTACTCTTTTGTGTGTAAAATATCTCACAATTAAAAGGTAAATAAATATAATATCTAGGGCCGGCCCCGTGGCTTAGTGGTTAAGTGCGCGCGCTCCGCTGCTGGCGGCCCAGGTTCGCATCCCGGGCGCGCACCCACGCACTGCTTTTCTGGCCATGCTGAGGCTGCGTCCCACATGCAGCAACTAGAAGGATGTGCAGCTATGACATACAACTATCTACTGGGGCTTTGGGGGAAAAAATAAATAAAAATATATATATATATAATATCTAGTCAAGGACTTTGGGAGGACTGGTCTAGATACTTCGGCTGTCACTAAAATAAACTAAATTTTAACTCTTCAGAAATGTTGATGATAAAATTGGAATCATAGTCCATAAAATCCTGTATTTTTAGTTTCTAAAATTACAAGAAGTTGAGCCAGCCCTGATGGCCTAGTGGTTAACGTTCGGTGCTCTCACTGCTTTGGGTGGCCTGGGTTTGTTTCTCGGTGGTGGAACTATTACTGGCCCACGTGGGGCCTTCTGCTCGCCACAAGACATGCCAATAGTCAAGAGGCAAAGTAGTAGGAGAAAAAGGACTTTTTTATTACAGCTTGCTAGCAAGAGGGAAGATGGCCAACTCATGTCCAAAAGAACCATTTTAAGGGGGCGCAAAATCTTACAGCAGTTATATAGGCCATTGGGTTATTGGGGAGGGGGTTAGGAATGTTGACCTTCTGGTCTTACAGACAGGAGTGCCACACCAGATATTTCAGTCTTCGCTGATGATGGCTATCAGAGTAGATTCTCTGTTCGGGGGTCATCACATTCCTAAGGAACTCAAGAAAACGAAGTTTTCATCTTGTCACAGCTGGGAGGTACATACACAAACAGGGGTCATAAAATCTACAGAGCAGTTAGACCTCCTGGAGGGTGCATATCCAGCTGGGTTAGTTTGTCAGAGGTCATTCAAAGTTACAATAGAGTTTTTCTTTTCTGCAATGGCTTCCCTCATGTCAACCTTGTCTTGAGCTGGTATCAGAACCACCTGTCTGTCAGTTGCCATGCTGTGGCAGTGGCTCACATATAAGAGCTAGAAGGACGTACAGCTAGGATTACAACCATGCACTGGGGCTTTGGGAAGGGAAAAGAAAAAGAGGAAGATTGGCAACAGATGTTAGCTCAGGGTAAATCTTTCCTTGCAAAAAAAAAAATTACAAGTTGTGTAAGATCATAAGAATAAAATGGAATTATAAAAGAATCTGTGGGCCACTGGTGGGCACAGAAAAACTGATGCACACAGATTAAAAAAAAAAAAGAGCAAGTGGTAGCTGAACCAATTTAAGCAATCAGAGGTCAACTTAAATTTCAGCCTCACTCAAATGTTAGAAAATGTTATCAGTAGAGGAATGAATTTCATTTACATTCTGGAAATGGAAAAATAGTTTATAATCGTATCCCTGGTTAATGTAATAATGACAATGTAAGGTT